CGCTCTTCCACAACTAACTCACTGCGAAATTCACTTCCCAAATACATTTTAGGAACCCTAAAATGGTATCACTGTCATTCCCTGAGTTGGTTTGTTTTTGCCTGCCTAGGAGGGCAAATGCGGCCCAACGTCATGCTAGCTATAGCTTCATAACCACACATTTATCTGTGTTTTATGTTTCTACCTTTTCCACGTTTGTTTTTTTTTTTCCAGTTACCACACCTTTATATTTTGATTTCTTTTTCTGTTGCTTATTAGAGTTAATACTGTCTTCTGGTTTTGATGTTGATTTTTCTTAAATGCTTTGGATAGTTTCTAACTTTTGAGCATTTAAATAACGGAAAATTCAATTGCAAATTATTCAACCAACATGTTGACAACTGAAAATTGTCAACCATTCAATATACATGAGTTACTTTTAGTAAACCGTAGTTCTTGAGAATACGTTTTCTTGTTTAATCTGCAAATTTGTTGGTCATACTTCTCTGTCTAATTTTCTAGTTTTTTTAATTTTTTAAATTCTTTTTTCTTATCAATTGAAGTTAATTATTATGTTCCATTAACTTATTTTGGTCTCTACTCGTATTTCAAATGCAGGTGCCACAATTGTTGTTTCTGGGGATGGCCGGTATTTCTCTAAAGATGCTATTCAGGTATACTTACATTGATGATTGTTTATTTTACAGGATTATATTTTATTTTTCCAAGACTTCCAGTAGTGTGCCTTATGCCTAGGTGAACATCTGGCAAGCTTCAACTTTTCTGTAAATTTATTTTATCTGAAGGTATATTCTTTAGATGCTGAAATGGATGTTGACATGCAATAAATTGACTATTTGTTGCACACTTCTTGATGCGGAAAGCGTAAAAAAAGAAATGCTGCCAGTACACATTGTGGTCCATTATATGATAAGAATATCATATATTTGATGAAAATATTACTTTATTTAGCTTTTGATCTTTCTTTTAGTTTATAGTGATTATTTTATTAAATAAATTACAAATAAAGAACACATTAAATCCTAAAATAGTCTCCTAACTATTTACATGTGGCCAATTTAGTCTTCTAGTGTCGTATTTCTCTCATTTTGTCCTTTAACAATACAAAATTGATCCAAAATAGTCCCTCCTTCAAAAATATGATATAAAATTGACCTCAATTTAATCTCTTGACTATGTAAAATTAATCGGAATTTAATCTCTATGGGACCATTATGGATCAATTTTGGGATTAAATTTTAGAAATGTGATTTTCTAGGAGTAATTAGGACACATTATTAGTTGGGGGCCATTTTTGATATATCCCAATGAAGAACCATGCCATGAAATGTGATAAGATTTGGAGGGAAATAATTAAGTATTTTATTTCAAGATTTATGCTGTATTTATGTAATCGTAAAGAGCTTCCAGTTGAATACATATAAAACTAGGAAATAATAATTTTACAATAGCCTATTGTTTGGTGAGTTGGTAGAATAATAATTAAAATAGTTCATAGATTGATGAGTAGACGGTAGGGGTCCTACGAGTTAAAGAGTTAGTGGCGGAAGAGAAAAGAAAGGTGAAAGTGATACCAAAGTTAACTTAAACATCAATAGCTAAGCCAAATATTATTATTGAACACAAATAGGCGGTTACAACCAACTCACTTGAAAGGGAAAACAGTACAACATGACACCCAAAAATCTGAAATGACAACAGACACGACAACACTCAGCTAGGGGGTAGATGCGGTGGTGGTGGTCGGCAAGGGTTTGTAAGGTAGTGGGCGGGTGAGAAAGGTGGTTGGCAAGCTAAAATGAGCAAGGCGGTTGTTTCCTTGTGTCGGACAACAAGCAAACAACGTGGAGTGATATGAGAGGGCTGCGGTAAAAAAGAGGGACTGGAAAGCAGCAAAACAACTGAAATGGGAGGTCCTCGGTTGCTGCAGTAAGGGAGGAGGACTACAACTGCTAAGGGGTGGAGCTGGAATGAGGGAAACGGATGGTCAGGCGACTGGAACAACAGAAAACAGCCAGGAATGATTTTTTTCGGGCGACAACAGCGAGTGAGAATGACAAAGTCAACAGCGGGAATGTGTGGGACTGCAAGACAACCAAAGGAGGGAAGTCTTGGGGCTGCGACAACGAGGATGATGGTTGAACAAAGAGAAACTGCAAGAGCAATAGCGGTGGTTGTTTGGAGGCGGCTACAACAATGGAAAGTTGTTGGGAACAATACGAGGAGGATGTGGAAGGGGATTGGGAAGATAATCACTACCTTAGGAGAGATACAGTCGGAGCATCATCCAAACTCTCATATACAACCCTCAAAGAGGGAAAACATCAGTCGACGACTGTCCCTAATCTTACTGACGCAAGGCGAGGAATGGTAACCGACCCCTGAAAGAGTATGGTCCAGAGCTGTCTCCCAAAAAAGGCGAGACCTGCCGCCCAACATACTTCCTTTCCTTTTTCGTTTCCCTCCTAGTCCTTTTTCCTCTGCTATTATTTTCCTTTTCTATTTCTTGCCTATTATATGCCCTTCTTTTTTTTATTTTCTTTCTTATTCTGATCCTTACATATTCTACTTACTAATCTCTATTATATATATGTGGTGTTTGCTTTAGGTTAGGGGTAGTTGATTTGTTTTTTGAGTTTAGTCCGTCGTCGGTGTTTTCGTCTTCCGAGGGTTGTACCCGACAACAAGAAGATGCTCCGGTTGTAACTCGTTTGAGGTGTTGACTATCTCTATTGTTCCTCTGCTTACTTGCTACCGTCAGTTACCTCCAACGCCTCTTAGATTGTTGCATCTCCTTACTGCGCTTCCAGAAGGGGGCAGACTCCCTCCCTAGGTGACCGCAACTCCTTCCTTCGTCTCCAGTAGATCGTCGCCTCTATTCTAACACTCGCAACTTGCTGCCAGTCCCTCCATGCATCTTCCTGCAGTTCGTCAACCTCTCCCGCCCCTTCCAGTAGTTGTCGGCCACTCTCGGACATGATCGCTTGCCGCAACCCTCCTTTAGCACTTCCCAGTGGTCATCGACTCCTTGCATCTTCTAACGAGTCGCTGACGCTTCCTGCAGGCTCCATGAGGCCACCGACTCCTCCCGACACTTCCTAGTAAGTTGTTGCCCTCTTCGCATCTTCTCGCAGGTTTGCCGGCTCTTTCTTGCAACTCCCAACAGGTCGTCGATTACTTTCGTACCCTCCAAAAGCCCGCAACCACCTGCACTTCCCCTTCGTACCCTTCAAACAACCATCCGCATCTGCTGCCTGCCAACGCCGCGACCCCTGCCGCACCCACATTCCAGTAGCCACCCACACCTATTGCAACCCTCCACCTTCCAGAAGCCACCCGCACCTATTGCTCTCACAGCTTCCAGTTACCTGCTGCAGTTATCTTACAGTCGACGTCCACGGATACTCTTCCTAGGTTGTAACTGGATTGTGCCGGTCCTATATTTATTGTCTTGTTTTTTTTTATTGCTTCAATTCTTGATTGAATCCTTCGTTATTTGCTTAATAGTATTTAATTTCCGTCGTTAACTCTGATATCGTTTGGTATCAGAGTTAGGTTAGCCATAATCATATCCTAGACTTCCTTAGAGTCCGCCAAATTCTTTCTCTCCCTTTTCTTTTTTTTCCTTCGCTCTCTTTTTTTTCTTTTCTTCTTGTCTTTTTCGTTCTTTCATTTTCTTTATTTCTCTTTTCTTCTTCAGGTCCGAAACCTTCAACGATGCCCCTGATGAGATACTTGCCAGACCCCACCCGAAATGAAATACAATAGGAGATTTGTCGTCTACAACAAAGATTTACAAAGATGGATGATGGAACCCAAGGGGAGGTTACCCTCGACCATGATCTAGAGAGTCGAAGGGGCAATAGGGACGAAGATCTGAATCTGTACCACGGTGAAAACATCAACAACAAGGAATACCGACTGTGCTCCTTCGGAATTCAATATCGGAGGAAGCCAAGAGAAGAGTTCGCATATGAGGGACACATGGACTTCGATATGAAAGTGGATGTGTCAAAGTTTGATGGAGGCATGGATCTGAATGACTTTGTCAACTGACTACACTAAGTGGAGCGAATCTTCAAATATAAGGATGTGTTAGATGATACACCGGTAAAGTTGGCTACCATCAAGTTGAAAAAGAGTGCCTCCCTATAGTGGGAGAACTTACAGAGGCGGAGGAAAAGAAAAGATTGTGATGAAATTTCCAAATAAGAGAAGCTGAGGAAGGAACTGTAGGGGAAATAACTACCGTCACACTGCTGTCAGGACTTGTTTCTAAGGCTCCACCACATGCAGCTGTGAGATCTTTCTGTGAAGGAATTCACAGCGCAGTTCGATCAATTGCAGATGAAGTGTGAGCCGGCCGAGCTAGATGAGCAGATGATTGCTTGATATCTGGAGGGCCTAAAGGTCGCAATTACCACTGATAATTGATAGTGAGAGTTGTGAAATTGTAGTGTCCACAGTGATGGTAAAAAAGTTGGGATTGACCACGTAAAAGCATCCTCATTCTTATTCCCTCACCCGACTAAAAGAGAAAAATGAGATACACATGGATCAATTGTGTCTAGTTGAGTTTTCAATAGGCGATTAGTTACATTATCAAGTTTGGTGCGACGTGGTGTCGTTGGTCGCATGTCATATTCTACTGGGGAGGTTTTGACAATTCAACCACATGGCTCAACACGATGGCTTCAAGAATACCTATACTTTTAAGAATGATGGGAAGCGAATCGTATTGTTACCTGTTAAGGATACTAGAGAATAGGTAACATAGAGGAAGAGCATTAGTCTTGGAGTCACTATCATACAGTTAGCTCGAGATGCGCTAGTAGCACTAGCCTTAGTCGTACTTGAGGGGACAAAGATGGAGAATGTAATATGAGCATCGTTCCAACCATTACTACACAACTTCCAGGCTGTGTTGATTGATTGTCTTCTCGAGGGAAATACGCCACTGAGGGATATTTAGCATGTCATAGATCTCATACCAGAATTAGTGTTGTTGAATCAGTCTGTCTACAGGATTTTCACGGTAGAGTAAAAGGAGTTACAACGATAGGTGCAGGTTCTTGTCGCGAGAGAGTTAGTTAGAAAGAGTACCAACCCCTGTGATGTCCCCGCATTAATGGTACCCAAGAAAGACAGGACAAGGAGGATGTGCATTGATAACAAAACCATCAACAAAATTACCATCAAGTACCGGTTCCCTATACCTCCCCTAGATGATCTTTTAGACCAGTTGCACGAAGCCGCCATCTTTTCCAAGATTGACTTACGCAGTGGGTGCCACCAGATACGGATGAGGTCAATAAACGAGTGGAAGACCGCTTTCAAAACACATGATGGGTTATTTAGGGGTGTAAACGAGCCAACACGAGCGTGCCCAACCTCAGCTCGTGTTCGGCTTGTTAAAAAGTATCATTGTTCGTGTTAGGCTCGTTTATATTTTGAACACAAAAAGTTAGTTCGTGTTTGACTCGTTTGCTTATCGAGCCAAACACGAGCTGTTCGCGAACAAATAGTTATTTTGACAACCCTAATCACGTAGCCATAGGATGTTAATGGTTAGGTCATGATTTAAGTCTTATTGATTATATTATGTAATTCAATATATTTTTATTCTATTTTTTATCAATAATTTTATTGATTA